GTTTAATGATGCAGCGAGTAAAGGTGGGGCTCATTTTACTATACTGCTGGACAGCCATATTTTATCATAATTAAAAAAGGTTTAATCTGGAACTTGTACAATCAAACTAATTCAGTAAATAAAAGTACAATATTTAGTTCTGAAAATTAGTGGAGTGGAAGTATATGGAAGCGTCAAATGGTAAATACAAAAAAACATGTTTAATAATAATAATTAATTCCTTACATTACATTACATTACATTGCATTTAGCTGACGCTTTTATCCAAAGCGACTTACAATAAGTACATTCGACCAGGAAGACACAACCTTGAAGAAAACAGAATCATATAAGTACATCAGGTTTCATAGAGCCAAACATTTCAAGTGCTACTCAACTGGCTTTAGGTAAGCCAGTCCTTTATTAGTATAAAAGTGCTTCGTTAATAGTTCTAACGCTCGAAGTGGAGTCGAAAGAGATGAGTTTTCAGTTTGCGCCGGAAGATGTGCAAGCTATCTGCCATCCTGATGTCAATGGGGAGCTCATTCCACCATCTTGGAGCCAGGACAGCAAACCCACGTGTTTTCGCCGATGGGAACTTGGGTCCCCCTCGCAGCGAGTCGTTTGGCTGATGCAGAGCGTAGTGCACGCGCTGGGGTGTACAGTTTAACCATGTCCTGGATGTAGGAAGGGCCAGATCCATTCGCAGCATGGTAAGCAAGTACCAGTGTCTTGAAGTGGATTCTAGCAGTTACCGGAAGCCAGTGAAGGGAGCGGAGGAGCGGAGTGGTGTGGGAGAATTTAGGAAGGTTGAAGACCAGACGAGCCGCTGCATTCTGGATGAGCTGCAGAGGTCGGATGGCACATGCAGGTAGACCAGCCAGGAGGGAGTTGCAGTAGTCTAGGCGTGAGATGACGAGAGCCTGGACCAGAACCTGAGTCGCTTTCTGAGTCAGCTGGGGACGTATCCTCCTGATGTTGTAAAGCGTGTATCTGCAGCAACGGGTTGTAGCAGTGATGTTTGCAGTGAAGGACAGGTTGTTATCTAGGGTCACACCCAGATTCCTTGCAGTCTGAGTCGGGGAAACAACTGAGGTGCCGATGTTGATTGTTAGGTCAAGAGTGGGACAATCTTTTCCCGGGAGGAAGAGCAGCTCAGTCTTGTCAAGGTTGAGCTTGAGGTGGTGAGCAGACATCCACTGAGAGATGTCAGCTAGACAAGCAGAGATGCGTGCAACGACCTGGGTCTCTGAGCGGGGAAAGGACAGAATTAATTGGGTGTCGTCAGCGTAGCAGTGGTAAGAAAAACCATGCGGGCTAATGACTGATCCGAGCGAGCTTGTGTACAGGGAGAAGAGGAGGGGACCAAGAACAGAGCCCTGAGGGACCCCCTGTAGTTAATTGACAAGGGTCGGACTCAGACCCTCTCCAAGTCACCCTGTAGGTACGGTCTTTCAGGTATGAGGTGAGGAGGGAAAGTGCAGAGCCTGAAACTCCAAGTTTTTGGAGAGTGCGAAGGAGGATCTGATGATTCACCGTGTCGAATGCAGCAGACAGGTCCAACAGGATGATGACAGAGGAGAGGGATGCAGTTTTGGCAGTGTGCAGTTCCTCCGTGACAGCAATGAGAGCAGTTTCTGTGGAGTGACCTGCCTTGAAACCAGACTGGTGCGGATCCAGAAGGTTGTTCTGATTGAGATAACAGGAGAGTTGTTTAAAGACAGCGCGTTCAAGTGATTTAGACAGGAACGGGAGGAGAGAGACAGGCCTGTAGTTGATAACATCAGACGGGTTGAGAGTGGGTTTCTTTAGGAGAGGGTTTACTCTTGCCTCCTTGAGACTGTTTGGAAAGTGACCAGAAGTTAGAGAAGTGTCGATGAAATGGGTGAGAAACGGTAGAATATCAGGACCGATAGTCTGAAGGAGGTTTGAAGGGATGGGGTCCAGAGGACAGGTGGTAGGGCGGGCAGAGGTAATGAGGGTAAGAACCTCACTTGGAGAGAGAGGGGAAAAGGAGGTAAGTGTGTTGGTGGAAGGAGGGTCTGGTGACCCAGCGGTGAGTAAAGGTGAGTCAGAAAAAGAAGAGCGAATATCATCAACCTTTTTTTCAAAGTGGGTAACAAAGTCGCTTGACAGAAGTGAGGAGGGGGGAGGGGCTTTTGGAGGGTCCAAGAGGGTGGAGAAGATGGAAAATAGTTTTTTAGGATTGGAATAGGAAGATTGGATCTTATCTTGAAAGAAAGTGCTTTTTGCCTGAGAGATCGAAGCAGAGAAAGAGGAGAGGAGAGCCTGATAGGTTAGGAGGTCGTCACGGTGTTTGGATTTCCACCATTTCCGCTCTGCTGCCCTAAGGACGGTTCTATTAGCACGCAGTGCATCATTTAGCCAGGGAGCAGGAGGGGACTGACGAGCCTGCCGAGATGTGAGAGGACAGAGCGAGTCCAGAGTGGATGAGAGAGTAGAGAGGAGAGTTTCTGCAGCAGAGTTTGGAGGCAGGAGTTGGAACGAATCAGAGGAAGGGAGGGCTGAGAGCACCGACGAGGCAAAGGTAGAGGGGGAGAGGGAGTGAAGGTTACGGCGGACAAGTGCAGGATGGGAAGAGATTAGTTTGTTATGTTTGGAAAGGGATAGAGAGAATGAAATGAAGAAGTGATCGGATGTGTGGAGCGGGTTTACAGAGAGGTTAGAAGTAGCGCAGTTCCTTGAGAATATAAGATCAAGGACATTGCCAGCTTTATGAGTCGGTGGGGACGGAGACAGTGAGAAAGCAAAGGCGGTTAACAGAGATGTTAGTTCGTCTATCTTCCCCGTCTGGAGGTTGAAGTCTCCGAGAAGTACAGCGGGAGGGCCAGTTTCAGGGATGAGTGAGAGGAGATTATCTAATTCCTCCAAGAAGTCCCCCAAGGCGCCTGGTGGACGGTAGAGAACAACAATGGTTAACTGTATAGGATGGGTTACTGTGACGGCATGGAATTCAAAGGTGGAAGGAGTGAAGTTAGGTAGCTTGAAGAGGGAAAAGCTCCATTTGGGAGAGAGCAGGAGACCAGTGCCACCTCCTCTGCCAGTGGGTCTGGGTGTATGGGAGAAGGAATATGCAGTGGAGAGAGCTGCTGGGGTGGATGTGTTGGATGGAGTAATCCAGGTCTCAGTGAGAGCAAGGAAATCCAGAGACTGCAGGGAGGCGTAGCCAGAGATGAAGTCAGCCTTAGGAACAGCTGACTGGCAATTCCACAGGCCACCAGAGTCGAATAAATGAAACAGAGAAGTCTAATTAAACAAGAATATAACTTACAGTGGTTGCTGCGTCAATAGGTAATGTCGTCACCGGGTCCAGATGCACACATACATTACATTTATTATAGCGCTTTTCCAGATGTTCAAAGCGCTTTACAAATACACATATCATACATGCAATGGTCATGTACTGTGGACAATACCCACAGGAGCAAGTTCAGTGTCTTGCCCAAGGACACAACGGCTTTACAGACGCAGCAGCGGCGGGTTTCACCCCTTGATCTGATGATCATTGCACAGCGCACTGCGCCACACCGTCCATCTTCACGCCTCGAAGTCATCGAGGCGCTTTTACAAGTACACATTAGTATCATACATGTACTGTGGACAATACCCACAGGAGCAAATCCGGGTGAAGTGTCTTGCCCAAGGACACAACGGCCTGACGCAGTGGCGGCAGGAGCGGGTTTCGAACTGGAGTTCCCCAGCACCCCCCTTGATCTGATGATCAGATGCACAGACCACTGCGCCACCCGTCCCATTTACATGCTTTAATGTTCAAAAAGCTCTTTATTGTTCTCATACTGCCTGTGCTGTAGCACCTCTTTTCACCCTCTGGTGAACCGCCGCGAGATGTCCCGCCCCTTAGCCTATAACGTACAATGTGTTGGAGCACCAGCCAATAGAAGTGCAAGTGTTACATAGTAATGTCACTATGTTACAGAAGCAAACAAAGGAGTCCAATGGATATGTTTCTGGCAGGAGGGGGGTTGGGGGAGAAAGTCAGGGATTTTAGCCTTTGCAGACCATTTATATGCACACAAACCTATTTAACACACTACAGGGAAGGTAAAACCTCAAAAAGAATAATAGTACCTCAACATTGTACTTGTATTTAACTTACTTTCTTTGGCCACTGGTTAGATTCATACTGAGTATAGTTTTAGTAGTTGCTTCCATTCTTTGTATGCTAAACTCAGCGAATCAACTCCCAACTTGTACATTAGAACAGTATTCATCTTCTGATTTAACTCTCGACCAGAAAGCAGAACATCTCGAACCCTTCCTTTAAAATATAGAGCAGTTTAACCCTCACAAGCTAGCTTGTCACATTTGGAAAACACAGACAGCGCCTGTGGCTTCTATTATTGGTCACATGATCCCAGGTTATTTGTCCCCGGAGGATCTCGCTCCACAGGACTATACTGTAAATCCCTCCCTGGTGCCTACAACATACTGTAGCTAGTAAAAATAGGCTTTATCTTTCCCTTTCAAAACGTATTCATGGCTTCAAAATCCCGTCACAACCTTTAAATATCTCTTACATGTACTAACCATTACTCTAAGTTCCATCTATTTTGGGAATACCAAGTTTTATTTTTTAAATCAATGGGGTTATGTTAGATAAAGGCTTGTGTCTGACCTCACACAGGCTCAGTGGTTTTGATTTTAATTCTTTGTTTGCAGCATCTCGCCACGTAAATCCAACCTTTCAACACTCACTCTCAGTAAAATATGTCTGTGTGATTCTGCATGTGTCTACAACAATAACATGTGACATCTGGTTCTGTGCGGAGTTGGCTTTTCCCGTTCTCTGCAATGTAACACTGTTTATACAGCTGTGTAAGACATCACGCAGGAGGAGAACAGCCGTAGCGCATATGTTTTTCAGCTTTTGTGACAGTGTTTGTTCTAATTGTCTCCATGCTTTTCCTCATATTTATCATTCTTTCGCCTCCCCCCTCTATCTCCCATCCATCCATCTCCTCCGTCTGCCTCCCTCTCAGACCTCGCTGATAATCTGGCTATGGAGGACTTCACCTTCCAGGAGCAGCTGCTGACCCCCGGCCTGGCCTCAGCCGGGGTCGGGGGGGCCTCCTCACCTGCGGCTCCGCTTTGGAGGGGCTCCCTGATCCCCGCCTTCCCCGTGACGCTCCTCCTGCTCCTGCTCCATCACCACTGACCAGTGCACTCACACCACCTCTTAGGATTCAATGCAAACTGTGGAACGGGAACTTTTTTAAATTCTGGTTCCCATTGTAAAGTCCATCAAAGGAAGCATGATGCTGCATTTTTATTTATTTATTTTAACAATTCATTCCAAATGTCCTCAACAAGCCTCATAAAGCACACCACATAAACCCAAGGCACTGTGTAAATAACAAACTCACCCTCGGGTTCACTCCCACTACAGTTATGACAACTTTTGGTCCCTCTTGTCTCAGCTCCTCATTCAGATTCGTCATAGAGCTGCAATTGAGGAGCTACTTTGGAGAAGAGACACACAACAGACTTTGAAAAAACACAAGCCCTAATGGAATAAGTAGGGAAGAAGAAGAACACTTTGCTACTCTCTTCCATGCTGGGGGGCTGTGAACTCTTTACTGAGCTTGAACCCTTATTTAATGCACTGTACCTTAAGATGCTCTGTTTCTACTTAAATCTCAATGTGTCCTTGTAATAGCTACATTATTTCAGACTGATTTCCTCACACACTCTCACCTGTCAGTGTTTGCTTTGTTTTGCAACGCTGATGATTTTATACAGTAACAGCACCATAATAAAAGTAACTCAACATAAGAGCTTACATCTCCCAATCAGCCTGGTAACTGTACAGATGTTTGTTTCTCTGTGTTGGTGCCATGTTTACAACAATGATATGTTCATTTTAAATGGTGGCATATTTGACAAGAATGTGTAGTTTGTGGACTGGACTGTGACGCACTGCTGCACATTTCTAGCTTATTCTTTAGCATTGTGGGTAAAGCGAGGAATAATGTGAAATATAAATATGTGTAAATTAATTTTGTAATACTGTCATTGAGCTCATACATTCAAAACATTTGGAAATTGTGTTTAATGATTTATTCTTCCATGTTTTGTTGCAACCAAAAGTCCTTATCTTGATTTTGTATTTGTTTTATATGATGATGATGTTGCAAAAAGGCACACAATAAAAATGTAAATGTATCCTAAACATTCTCATATGACTTGAGTAAGCAGACATGTGAGTCATGCTACATCCTTAGCACATAGCACAGCTGTAACTACAGTAGGGCTGGACAAATAATTGGCATATTATCAAAAACAAATATTAATAACAGAATCCAAGAAAAAAGGCAAAATATGTGTCCATTCTGAATGAAGTATTGTGTGCTCCAGAAATGTGAAAATCGCTGCAAAAAATGATCATCCCATTCAGTATTTCGAAACATATTAAAATGGCATTTCCTGTTGAAATAAATGCAACTCCATGGTTGAGGTCAAATAGTCTGTTTTGCTTAGGAACCTTCCTGTCACTATCATAGGTCACTACCATAGGTCACTACCCGATCTGCCCCCCTGCCCGATCTGCACTGCGCATGTGCGAGATGGTCCGCCATATTGGACAACTCCATACGGCAACTCTAATAGGACACTTGACACAGTGGCGTTTGGCAAAGCAGAAAAAGAACACCGAGAGATGAGTTATTGTTATTACAACGTGACTTCACTAATATTTAACAACTCTTTTTATTGGGTTCTTTTATTTGGGGTTACGTACATTGTCAGAATAAGTGAGAAATGGATTTAACTTCTGTTCTGCCATACATGATAGCTGTCTAACAGAAGTTAAATCCATTTCATAAAGCATAAAACGACAGCATCAGAGCACGGTGCAGAGTCTCTAGATGAGTTTACAGTAGTCCCTCGTTCTTATCAAACATCCATGTTGTAGTCCGCTGTATAGAAAACTGTAGTTTCCATAGTTTCCCCACAGCAGCAGACGCACATTCAGGATGTCCGCTGGCGCATGTGTTACTGATAACACTAACGACGGCTCTGTTCCATTCAGGTGCGTCAGAGAGCATGCAGAGTACCAGGTACACATGAACTGAATGCAGCCCTAATGAACGTGATTAGTCACACCTGTGTTTGTCACCAGAGACGGCTGCCATGAACCGACCTGTGATTACCGTTGGATCAAAATGAATGCCCAGTAATATGTTGTTTTTATTTTTTTCAGTTAAATGATGATGGGGATTATTATACATTGTATGGGGAAGTACAATGTATAATAAACTAAACTTGTTTTTGGTTTTGTGTTTTTTTGTTGTGTCTGCATAAGTTTTTCTTTATTGATGTGTCTAGTAAGAGCCGTGTTGGGGCATGGCGGCTTGGCTTGCAGGCCCAGAATGTAATTGATGTGTGTACTGTTGTGTGTTGATATTTGACTTCAATAGTCTAAACTACTCATTAAAATGAATATTGATTGGCAGTTTCAAGGAAGCCTATCTCCCAGAATGTTAAGACTGAACTTAATACACCTGTAAATTATGTTTTAAATCTTAATATTAAAAGATAACATTATTCATGAATCAGCAAAAAGCCAAGATAAGGCTTTGAAAAAAATCCTTTCTTTACACAAAAGCAAGTTTATCTACGGCAGGTGTAACAACTGTCAGACTTTAATTCAAATATTGCTAAATCCTGATTGGTGTGACTTCACCTTCTTTGAAAAGAGCCCCACCCACCCACTTACAACCAGTGTAAAGACCACTGACCAAAACAGGACGATCAGGAATCTGTCATTTAAAATAAGCAAAACTGAAATGTGTTTTCACGTCCTTTAACCTTAGACATGGAGGAGAGGAATCACACCTGACTACACCCATTATTACAGGAGGGTGTGGTCTTCTGCTTCTTTACTTGTGACCACACCCTAAGCTGATGTAGTGCTGAGTTCTGAACTGCAAATGGCATTACAGGCAGGATTTTCACCCTGAGCCTGAAAAGTGAACCACCAATGCATCGTGGAGTCTTTTGGGTTGTTTATTTTTCTCTTGCCTAACAGGTCAAACAGAGATATGGTGAGGTCATGTCAAGGTTCTTACTTTGCAGCAACAAAGTATCAATCAATATCATGAACAAACGCATCTAAGTAACACATCAGCAGTAAATGTCAGGTTTTGCTGTCAGTTCCTCAGAATCAAAGAGTGGAGGATACTTCCTAGACTTTGCACAGCTTTCAGCAATCAGGCAGTGATCCATTGGACAAACAACACATGCCTGTTTGTACACCAACAGTGGCCACAGTTCACCAAATTGAAACGCAACATGTTTTGTTTAAGGGGAATGACGTCGACTTATTCCAAAGTGGAAAAACTCTTATGCTTTCTGTTTAGGCATATAACCCACAGTTACAGTATTTGGAAAAGGCAGAACCTGCAACACACACAGTTCTGTACCACTAGTTTTTATCGTTCAGAGTTTCCTCAGTTTCATTTTTTTTGCTTTCCTCTCTGGGGTTTTCTGTCCACATTTTATGATAACAGGATGTTAAAATTAGAAAGCCCGATCATTTTAAGAGAAAACAACCATTATTGCAACTACTTCTCCTATGCATAGGCATGCTATAAACATCATGAGGGGTGTCTTTGCTAACAAAAACATACCTATTAAAGACTATAGTATAAACAATTTTAATTTGAATATAAAATCTTTCTTATTATTTTCTAAGGCAACAATCTTTAGTTACAAGACAAATGAGACAAACCCTTTTACGCGATAACGTAAGAAATGTTAAAATTGTACGTGTAGGGGTTTTACGTTAGCATTGTGCTAGACCTTTGAATCGCCATACACATCTCGGATGCATGGCATGTTCTTAACATTATAATATGAAATCAAACTACAACCTTAACTGTAATCAGCAGCAGCCTATTCATATCTTTTTTATTGTGAATAGAGAAAATAAAAACGTACTTATAAAGGTGCAATTCTGCCAACCACAGCTAGCTTGTTCAGTTTAGTTTTTTTATTACAAGGGATTGATGTTGACAAAACAAACAAGAGGAAAACATTGACCAATCAAGGCTCTAAAGCGGGATTAAGAATGGTGACATCATCTTCCTACATACAGCTACAGCTAATTATTTAGCTCTAGATTTGAAAAACTGTGACAGAAAAATGGCGAACAGCGTTGATGAGGTTGATGCACTTGTATGCGTTGTAATACGAATTAATGAAATACATTTTAACTATATCTTTTTATATTTTGGGAAGAAAAACTATTTAGTTTTATTGTAACTGATTCTAACGGAATAGAAACTAAAATGATTTGAAGGAAAGTGACGCAACAAGTTTTCCTGGTTTGTTGAAGGACATTTTGGAAAATGCATGTGTTCATTAACTGAGGTGACAGTCGGTAAGCTAAGTTGTTAAAGAAACCAAAAACATAAAATGAGATCACCAAAAAAACATCTGAAACACCCTTGAATGTTACATATTGACATATTGAGCAATTTTGGGTGGAATTTTCCTTTATCTGCAAGGAAAAAATATTAGTGAGAAAATGGATGGCAGGCTACAGGGGTTATGAATAGGACACATGATGTTGCAAGTCTATATGTTACTTTATGTGCATTTCACCCTCTGATCCACTTCAAAGCCCTTCAGGAATCATATAATTTATGTTCCTCTGGAGTGTGCTGGTAGTTCTCCAAAGCCTCAAAGCAGCATGTGTTATTCTCTGGATCTGTATTTCTCACTCCTAGAAGATGATGAAGCATTCTGGGCATAAGACGTGCTCTCTGCATCTCTCTCTGTGGGGTTCCTACATTAAACCACATTAGTTTTCCCCCTGGAGTCACCTTAGCCAGGTAGCAGACGCCGCCCGCAGCTCCACAATGAGGTTCATTAGTCCTAATTGTTTGTTTTTTGTCTCCTTCCTTAAAGCATGTCTACTTTCTTAACAAGGTCAATCACTCACAGCTCCTCTCATAACACGCCTGTCACTACAAACACACTTCAACATTTCTGTGTCCCGGCGCTCGGCTGTAACTTTTCACACCCACGCACCCTCTGCTCCCCAGATCCAGATAAAAACGCCATTGTTATCCAGCTGTGCTTTTCTCTCCTTGACTGGATTGCTGCCTTTAACATGAAAAAGAGAGGCTGATCATTAGGAGATGAGCAAACGCTGGCTGCAGAGAGAGCAGCAGCTCACCCAGAATGAGTTGGGGGGGGGGGGGGGGGGTGGTTATACTCTGAATGCTAATGCAAGGCTGGAGAAAGGGCAAACAGGCCTATTGAAATGCAGAGTTCACATGTTTTCTTAGGGTAATATTGGGGCAATGTTGGAACGGCAAGCATTATGGGAGTGAAAGGTTAATTTGATGTTAGTCAGCAGGAACAGTGAGAATAGCTGACTATCAGGAATTGTTGCATTTTCTGCCTGAGTGATTGACTCCCTATGAATATGTATTTCATGGCCACACAAAGATGTTTGGGCTTGGGTACATTGACAAGCCAGACAGTTCACCAAGCCTAGCATATGAATTAAAATAACAATGATATTCAGGTGCTTAAGTGCATCTGCTCCCAGTGCCATTTTCTTTTTTTTTACCAAGCTGGATGTTGGAATTCCTCTGCCAGAGAGAAAAGCCTGAGACATGTCACGTCGTTCAAAGCTCATTCACGTCTAATTACCAAGGCACTGGACCATTTTCTTACCTTTTGTTGGCCCATTGAGGGGAGCGCCGGGCCCACGCTCTCCCATGCACACAGCTCCAGCATCCTCCTCCTCCTGCTCCTCAGAAACCCCTGGCTTCCCCTGCAGCAGCCGCAGTCACACAGAATGAATGGAGCCGCCTGAGGAATGTGGACACAAAAGGAGGAATGTCATTCTGCTGAGTGCTACCCCCCAAACCAATGGACGTGCACACACACACACACACACACACACACACACACACACACACACACACACACACACACACACAAACACACACACACACACACACACACACCAGCACCCCACAAGTCCAGGCATGTTTAAACGCAGGGGGTAAAAAGTCTTATTATGGCTTCTTTTTTTTTAATGAGGGGATTTACGTACAAGACATTTGCACAGTCCCATAATCGAGACTGAGTCAGAAAAGATTTCTAAAATGTTGCATTTCCTGTTGATTACGATTGACCAGAGGACACAGGAATGGATGAGTTCTAAGTTTGTTTTTACATGTAATTGATTGTCCTATCAGATAAGCTTCAATTACTTTTTTTTCCAGTGTTACAAGAAGAAACAAGTTGCAATGAGCGCAAAGATCATGGACAGAAAACAGCATGACGGCAGATTTAACAAACTGCTCCTGAGAACAGGGAAAAATAAAACACTGGTGCAAAAACACAAGAGAAATATGAGTGAAGGAGACAAGAGATATTCTCAGACTAGGACATGGGGAACTTTTAAGTATCTGTTGAACAGATGGTCATTTGAAAAAGGATGAAATTATTCAGTCAGATGAAGCGAATTGTTACAGTTTTTTCTATTTGTCTCTAAATGTGTACGCTGATGCTTTCACAGCAGCTAAGATGTGCTCAGCAGAGGTTTGGAGTGACTAGATTTATTTAAAATGCAATGGAGGGATGCTCACGTGGTTTATGTGTCAAAAAAACCAAATACGTTGCCCATTATCTCCCAGTGATCGTCCTGGGGTTATACGGTGGCCGGCAGGGGTAAACACGATACAACGGCCCAAAACACTTATATTAGGAGAAACGCACCGCAATTTAAAAAACGATTAAAATATCAAAACACAAATGTGACAAAACACATGAAAATGAAGAAACATCTTCACCAACTTGAGAACACATGCTCAGCATTTAGTAAACATTCACCAACTTGAAGGAACATGCGCAAACTAAAAGCGCTGCATAGACAAAGCGCTGCAAATACAAAACGCTGTAAATACAAAACGCTGACACTCAAAAGTAATGCACACAGCTGGGACCAGAGCATTTGTTGACATTCAGGAATTATAAAGATGGCCAACTGTCAACTTTGCTGTAAACTCACCTAAAATGTAAGTTTCATTGGCTTATTTCAACAATGTGATCGCATGATTCCTTTTGATATAATTGCAGATCTGATGTAAGCTAGCTAGCTAATGTAGCTAACCTGGTCATTTGTAATATAGACCTACTGAAAAAACACTTATAATTATTGAACAAACTAACAATATTGACAGTTGGCCAACTTTGTAATCCATCAACAAGTGCTCCATTCCCAGCTGTGTGCATCAATGTGTGTATCACGTTTCCGTTGTGTTTGAGCTTCATGCAGCGCTTTAAGTAAATGCATAACATGTGTTATACATTTGATCATTCTTACAATGTCATTGTCATCTCAATCCAAGTGTACAGCTCCCAGTAGACTGTTTACTGTGGTTTACAACACTAGCTGTACTATATGTCAGGCAGCTGCATGTTGGTCTG